TATTTTTCTTTTATCATGTAATTAATTGCACTTGACAATTGCGCCTCAATTCCCCATATTTAATAACAAGTTTATTTATCAACATTTAGAGATACCAAAGTACAAGTATGCAAGTTCCCAAGTTGGCCACCAAGGGCGTCATTACCTGGCGTCTAAGGTATTTTGAAGACACCCCCGCCCCACCCCCCACCCCCGCCTCCTACTAAATATATTTGAGGGCCGGATGCTATGTTGACCCCACTTGTTCCTCTCTTCTCCATTATAACAACGTAGAGAAGTTCTCTAGAAGTTTATGTTTATTTAAAAAAACTAAAAACTTTAATTTATTTGCAGTTCAGCATCTTATTATTGTTATCGTGGTCATTATTATTTAGCCGTTAAGGTTTACTGCTGCAGAAAACATCCGCTTCCATTCATCTCTGTCTTTGGTCTTTTCTTACCAGTTGGTGTCACCAAGTGTTTGTAAGTCTGTCTGGATATTATCTCTCCATCGTCTTCTCCCAATTGCATCGTAGCCCACAATCATTCAGCTCCCTTGTGTATACAATTATTACCTCTCTGTCATCTGACATTCTCTCAATATGCCCCAAGCATTTCAGTCCATTAGCTCTCATGATGCCAATGAGAAATTATTATCATTTTTAATATTATTACTATTACTATTAGTATAAACCAGGAGAGAAAGAAATACTGGCATCCTAAAAGATCTAAACTTCAAAGCAGATTCTCTAGTAAACGGCAGCTTGTTTTGGAAACTAAAATATGTTGGCCAACCAAGCGTCAAGGCCGATTGAAAAGAATAATAGCAGAAGGCATGGTGCTAGCAAGGAGGGGCAGGGGCTGACCAGCACGAAGATGGACATATGACGAAAGTTACACTGTGGGTAGTACAGTGCATGAGGCCAGAGAGTTGGCGAGAGAACGAGTTTCTTTCATTCAGACCGTGATGGGGGCGACGTTCTGCAAAGGACATGCTACATTATTATTATTTGTATTTTTATCCTCATTATTATTATTATTAATGTTGTCCTTTTTGTTATTAGGATTACTTAAAAGCACTAAAAAGAGGCTCACCCCACTCCCCCATGTCCTCTTTCTGTCAGCGCCTCTGTTTGGCATCATCCACTCAACAATGACATTGCTAGAAAGGAAACCGGTTTATAAAGTTCAGAACTGTGTGTATGTGTCATGACTGGCCGACTTAACACTGTATGTTATCTGCCAAGTTTATGGGACGTGTAGATAAAGTCTCTTTTTGCCTGTCTGGATGTGCGAAGTCTAGCAGTACCAGTAAATTGTGAACTGCTGACTAAAGTTTATTAACACTTTACTGAAGTTTCCTTAACCGAAACGTGTCCTGTGAAAGTAAGTATTTGATTGTAAAGTAAGTATTTGAAAGTAAGTAATCAATCTGTTGCTGTCCCAATATGGAACCCAATTTTTCCTTATTTAAAAGCCCCACCCCAGCTGTGTCAGAAGTTCTGATTAAATCTAACGTTTGAACGGGATTTCTGGGACTTGCGCCCGGGGGATTCTCATCCGAATGATGGCACTTTGTGTCACTGGGCGTTTTTTGCTCGTTGTGCTGTCCTGGTGGGGATAAATTTCATTCACCAGTACTTTGATTACATGATTCATGTTCATCTGTATGGCTTTTGAGCCTCCACGTCGCGAACATAACAGCTGTCATTGTTCAAGAACATAATTCATAAGTGGATTCATATCTATATGTTATTTATAATAAATTATTTCATTTATTACCAGGATTTTGGGGGGAAAAGGTGGAAACACCGGTGTTATATTTTCTGACTTATGTTACTTTTGGTAATAATAGTCTAGTTATAAAAAAAAAATATGTCTGTGTGTGTAAGTTAGCCTTTCCTTTTTTTCGGGGGGGGGGGGGGGGGGGGAGGAGGAGCTGCGTGGTCTCGAGGCTTGGTGTTCGCCCCGAGTGCTAGAGGTTTTGGGTTCACTCTCCGGTAAGGGCTGTGATTTTTTTCACGTGGATTTGGACTTCTAGTAATTTTTTCTGGTCTCTGGGTAGTGTGATCAGACGCCCGTGTGCATTGTTGCTCAGGTAAAAAAATACTTTGGCAATTGGAAATCGAAAAGAGAAGCCTAACGGCGCTGCCCGAGCAAAACTGTGAGTTGAAAATCTACCTAAAGTATTTCAGGATCCTCGTTGGTGCCACAGAGCCTGTGAACTGTGTGGATCTTCTTGGAGCTCAGATTTGAGTTGGAAGAAGAAGGGAGCACTGATGGGTTACTACCCTGTGCCTTAATGTTGATCCGTTGTTGAAACCTCTTGAGCCCTCTCAGCTCTCCATGTCTGGTGGTTCGTTGCAACGTGTTTTTTTTAGGTCTTGGATGTTCATTAGGCCCATGGATGATGGTTCTACGGAGGGTCTTTCTTGGTCTTCCCCGTTTTCCCTTTCCTTCTGGTGACCATATAATCGGTGGGGGGGGGGGGGGGGGTGTGGGGGGTTGGAAAAAAAAAAAAAAGGGGGGGGGGGGGGGTCTTGTCCATTCTGAGTGCATGGCCGATGTAGTTCCAGTCGCGCTTTCTTAAAAAATCGGAGACTTTTCTTGCTTGGTCTCTTGTCTTATTCGCGTACTGGATCTGAAATCTGTCTAGTTAAGATTTAGTATTCTTCTAAGACATTTGTTCTAACAATGTTGTCAATTTTTTTAAATATCTAAAGCTCTGGCACCCATAAGTTAGCATTGGAATCACACAAGAATTGACGATCTTAAGTTTTGTGTCTTTTCTGAATGTCTTTGACTTCTAGATGTTTGACAGTTTGTGAAAGTCATTAGTCGGGAAATTCTAGATGATGTTGCAGGCGTTGAATCCCCTATGGATATCATGTTACTTCCTAGGTTTGTGTGTGTGCGTGCGTTGTATATACACATGTTTTAGATTTGGAACTTTGTTCCGAATTGAATCTTTCCCGCTCTGTTCTTGTTTAATCCTTGACAATATGAACTTCTCATGTTCCCGATATCTTTTATGCTTTATGCAGGGATTTCTTTTCTTGGCGCAACGGTACACAGAACCGGCACCCTTCTTAGTTGTCAACTTTTCAGTGCAACAATAATATACATTTGGTGATGTGTACTGGCACTTTATTATGCACTTTGGGATGATTACTGGCACCTGCTTGTCTAGGTAAAATACCTGGCTACATACGATGTCTTGCATGATATAGACATTGTCTTCTTTGATGCAATCATATTTGTATCTGCTACAACCGTGTATTATATGTTAAAGCAATAATCTTATATGATATAATCATATCTTACGTGTTAAATGTGTTTTTCTACATGCTATAGTCATGTCTTATATGTTAAGGTCATTGTCCGTTATGCAATAGTCATGTCTCATATGTCAAATTCAAAATCTTATATGCTACAATAATGTCTTATAAGTTAATATCATTGTCTGTATGCTACAATCATGTCTTATATGTTAAAGTCATTGTCTGTTAAGCTACAATCATGTCCTGTATGTTAAAGTCATTGTCTGTTATGCTACATTCATGTCCTGTATGTTAAAGTCATTGTCCCTTATGCTACAATCGTGTCTTAAATACTACACTTAAAAGGCAATTCTGTATTCTTTACAGAACGCTGCAGAACCAATCTCAGCATTGTTTGCATGGGTCGTTCAGCTAGGCAAGTAAATCTACTGCCCCATAACAAGCTTGTCGTAAAAGGCAACTAATATGTTGTTTCCTTTAAAATCGGTTTGCATCTGCATGAGGGGAGAGGAACCAACAGTCTGCATATAAACAAGCCAGTTCTGTAAAACGTATACACCCATTCTTCAAGTCTTAGAACAGACCTGAAGTCCAAAAGTGGACGAATGACCAAGACTGTCCACTGAAGTTTACAACCGGTGAACGCGAACGAGATAAGATCTGTTTCAAATTCGACAATACCTGCTTACCCATATTTTAGTGTGAAAGACCACTAGGGACCTTCTGTCTGTTAAGAGTCATACTTGAAATAAAATTAATCCAAATTATGATAGCAAAAAGGGGTGTTTTTTCTCTTCCCCTCTTCTTTCCATAAACGATATCACCGACCACTTCAATTTGTTCCGTGGAGAAATTAGGGTCATCAGAACGCCAGGTTGAAATGATTGACATAAATCAGAATTCTTCAACGGATGAGTCGATGCCTACAAGTGGGTCTGGTATAAGTCCAGGTGGTTGGCCAAACATGTTTGCTTAAACATTTATCTTCTTCTTCTGCTTCTTCGCGTTCACCGGCTGTAAACTCCGGCGGAAAGTTTTCGTTGTTCGTCCACTTCTGGACTGCAGTCCTGTTCCAGAACCTTAGTGTTGCGTGTGCATCCGTTTGACAGATCTGTATGCAGACTGTTGGTTTCTTGCCTCTCAGGCAGATGCACTCCGACTTCGAAGGAAGCTCCCAGTTAGTCAACTCTTACGAAATGCTTTTGGGTAGGCAGTGGGTCTATTCTTGTTTTCCCCATAGTAGGGCCCCGGAACCCACACGGGGGAACATTTAACTTTGTAGGGTAAGTTTTTTTTTCTTTCCTTTTCCAAGATTGCAGTCTGCAGTATTAACACATCAAAAATGAAAATACAAACAGGTAGAAATAAAAAAAAAAAAACCTGTTCAGTCGCTTAGATTTGCTAACATCTGAGCAGCAGTCGCAACAGCAGATGCGGCATTAAAATTATATTTTTGTGACATCAAACACAAATTACTGTTATCTGCATTTGTTTGTGTTCTGTGTTTGATTGGATGTCTTGTGGGCCACGAAACACATTCCTTTGTTCTTGTCTGCCTCGGGTTTAAAAAAAAATGTGAGGATCACTGATATTTAAGTTGAGTCAAGAATCGACAAGTCAGCACTCGGGTCATTATTATAAGCGCTCCGTCCCCATCTTTAGCAACCAGCACAGAGATACAATACCACTGATCTGGACAATATTACCTTCTTTCCACAGTTTAATATTCCCCCACTGAAAATGGCCGCCAAAATTCCCGAAGACAGCAAAACACCATACGTGTTTCTGGGACGTTCTGGTCTGAAAGTGTCCAATATCTCTTTGGGAACTATGACCTTTGGAGAAAACAAGGTAAGATGGCAATAACTGTGTGCTTTCCCTAAAATCTTGCTTTGCTGATAAGCCTAATTAAGCTAATCAAGAACACTTATGATTTCCAGGCGATTGTTACTTACACTCACTGTACTTGTGTAGTTGCTACTTTCTCCCGCTCGGTCTCAAATCAAACAAATATCGTTCATGGTCGCAATTTAAAAACTTATAAAAAACATTTCAGTCCCAGTAATTACGAAGCTTGCCCGTTCAAATTAATTGCACAAGGCAGTCGTCAAAATTGCCACAATCTAAAGTCTCCCACCAGACCGGCAGCTTACTGGTGATGCGTGCAGTCAATCATGACAGTCGTCATTTGCACACAATGCTGCATAAGTACACGCCATGCCGCACTTAATCGGCCGCCCGCCATTTTTAGCGCAGTTCACATCATAACACAGGCGCCGGCACAACAGAGTAAACATCCTTAGACATGGATTCTACAGCTCACAGTGTCGTACCAAGCATATGTTTAATATACATGCAAGTTAATAATATTTTGTGGGCCGCATCAGTAAAACATTTAACCCCACCCCAGATTCTGAAGACGTAATCTACTGGCTGGTTGTGGTTGACCAACCTGCAACCACGTATATTTGCAAGACAATTCTACATACCTTCGGTGTTCAAGCCCCATGATTTGTCCTAAAGCAGTGGTTTTCATCAGCGTGCCTCACTGGTGGACCCAAGAAAGTTTCAAGCGGAGCGTCAAGTTATTTTGATATTTTACTAAAAACAATTTTCAGTGTATTTATAAATAAAATAATATTATTCATAACAATTAAAAAGCTTGATATGGAGATGGATGTGTTGCGTCCAGCATCAGACTAAAAAATCAAATATCATTAAAACAAAACTGTGCCAACCACCACACTGATAATTAGGCACTAAATTATCAGTGATTGGTGAGTTGAGTTGAGTTGAGCTGAGCTGAGTCAAGAATTGACATCACAGCACTAGGGGCATTCCTATGCTTGCTCCGTCCTCATCTTCAGCAGCCAGCACAAAGTTCCAATACTGATGATACCGGTCACCATCTGGTTATATGTCCGTTTTTTTCCCAATTCTTGTTAACTGTGCTTGGAATTTCTCTTCATGCCCTCATCTTTCATTATTCACATTTTAATGCGGCGGGGAGGAAATGGAAGTTGCCAAATATTCTGAAAAAAATCACTGTTTTAAAGCAACGAGATGACGAAATTATAAAGGAATGCATGTTACATCTGTCTGCATACATTTAGGAAGATCTTTATTTCTGTATGCACACCGCTAGTTTCCCTGCCCATGATGCAAAGGTCAGCAGAGCACTAATATTCCTACTGGAGATCGCTTGTGTTCACTTCACAATTTCTAATGGTTACATACGGAGGATTGGTACACCCTTCAAAGGGACATATCTATCTTTCCAAGTGCTCTACGAGTTAATTTGTACAGTCAAACACATGATTATGTATTCCTGCTAGATTAGCACGCAGTTGTAATGTAATTTCGTCATTTCATATATTATTATTAGATATTTTTGTTGTTGCTACTCTCACACAATATTTCATGACCATTTGTAATTCCAATGTAACCTTTCTCTCAAGGCGAGCTTTCAGCTGCTCAATTCCTTGTTCCAGATAAATTCTTGTTTTGTGGGTCTCGACTACCAAGCCAGTAATAAGTAGAATTAATTTATTTGGCGCCAATCGCTACCATTTTCGCGTATTTGAATTAAGTTTTGCATTCACCGATTTTCCCTCCTTTCTAGCAGACAATTGAGGGTCACATTATTTTATGATTTTTGCTGTTGCTTTTATTTATAAAGACGGGTCGACCAGGACAAAGTGACGAAGACCTCTCGCATCAGATCATCAACCGTTACGTGGAGTGGGGTGGCAACTTCCTGGACACTGCTGACGTTTATGGATATGGCAACTCTGAAACTATCATTGGCAAGTGGCTGGAGAAGTGAGTCGTTGCTTTAGTGAAACTTTTTGTCTACTTCAAAATTATTGTAATACCTATATTTTTATTTATTTATTTCTATTTTTTTTTTCGACGGATCAACATCATGGCACACGGGTGTAACCCACAAGTACCCCGTTCTTCTTCTAACTGAAATGAGACTTACAAACTACAAGACCCTTAGCCATAGCTGACAGCTGGTCTTGGAGGGAAGTTCCGACAGACAGACAGAACACTACTTTTTTTACACCATAGCTTTTGTAGAACATTTATGCCCCAAAGATGATGGTGGTATGAGCTTTCCTTTGCAGTTAACCGTGCATCCGTGAGAGGAAACATGGTTTATGTGAAACATGTCGTCTCTAGAATACTGCCCAGTCTTTGAACTGTGAAGAGAAGGAATTTCCTCCCTGACCTTAGTTTGTATAGTCAAGTCATGTGATTCGTGTGCCTTGCTATCGCCTAGGAAGACAAAACTGGCCAGCAAGCACATCGTGATCCTAATACCTACATCGTCTGTTGTTGCGTCTGCTTCCAAAAATCTTACTGCCCACTTCCTTTACACTGTGCACGTCTTCGTCTTCGCTCCTTCTATCAGAAAACGTATATCAGTAGGCCAGTGGTCTTGGTGAAAGCTAATGTGAAGTTTAAATATATCTGTGTGTACATACTGCAGTAAATGTTAATATCGATTTTACTGAATCTTAATGCAAACTTTAATGAATTTTTGTCAATTTACAGGCAACCTCGAGACAATTTTGTCATTGCCACAAAATGTCGATTTGGTATGGACCTAGAAAATAACGTCAACAGTGTGGGTCTGAGTCGACGTCACATAACCGAAAGTATCGACAAAAGTCTTCAGAGATTACACACAGACTTTGTGGATCTTTACCAGGTGGGTAGTTTCAGCTGTGTTACTGATTTACTGGTTTAAGAATGGACACCATAGCACACGGAACACATCAACGCATGGTCCGTCTCCCGCAGCAAATAAGATGTTAAATTTTATTTCTATTTAATAGACGGAGACTTAGGACACCCACACAAAAAATAAAAAATAAAATATATCTATGATACTTATACAGCTATTATTCAGTCCTAATTAAACAAAATTACTTTAGCTTTATTGTCTGTTTATTGGTAGTATAGCTGTTGCATTATGCATAGTGTCATTGTTGTATTTTTACGGCATTTTTTTCTAGCATTACATATACACTTAAATGTCATTACATTTAGCATTAGGGCTGCATTCGTTCTCTAATATTCCTTGCACCTGTCATTAGGTTTATCCGAGGCCTTCTGTCTCCAGTACTGTCAATCATCGAGTTTCTATTCGGATTATACAAGTAGCAGTCTAATTATATGCTTTTTGAACATTTCTGTGTAAAGTGAAGATCAGATCCATTAGTGCACCATTCTCTTCAAACAGTGAGGATTTATTTGTGATTCTATTCAGTCCCTTCCAAAGGACCCCGTCCCTAATTTGACTAACAGTGCACCAGTGTGCTCATAGCTGACTCAGAATCGACCAAACCTTTATACCTGTTCATTTCCTAAAACACGCAAATAGCTGGAGAAAATATTCAAAGGTCGCTAACTACATTGGATCCCTAAAGCGATACTTGCCACTCTGCAAGAAGCACCCTTGTCTCTACCGTTCTCAGCTCGCTTTGCTAGTGTCATACAGCCGTGAGATGTGTGTACAGGCTAGTGTCATACAGCCGTGAGATGTGTGTACGTGCTAGTGTCATACAGCCGTGAGATGTGTGTACATGCTAGTGTCATACAGTCGTGAGATGTGTGTACAGGCTAGTGTCATACAGTCATGAGATGTGTGTACATGCTAGTGTCATACAGTCTTGAGATGTGTGTACATGCCAGTGTCATACAGTCGTGAGATGTGTGTACATGCTAGTGTCATACAGTCGTGAGATGTGTGTACATGCTAGTGTCATACAGTCGTGAGATGTGTGTACATGCTAGTGTCATACAGCCGTGAGATGTGTGTACATGCCAGTGTCATACAGTCGTGAGATGTGTGTACATGCTAGTGTCATACAGTCGTGAGATGTGTGTACATGCTAGTGTCATACAGTCGTGAGATGTGTGTACATGCTAGTGTCATACAGCCGTGAGATGTGTGTACATGCTAGTGTCATACAGTCGTGAGATGTGTGTACGTGCTAGTGTCATACAGCCGTGAGATGTGTGTACATGATAGTGTCATACAGTCGTGAGATGTGTGTACATGCTAGTGTCATACAGCCGTGAGATGTGTGTACGTGCTAGTGTCATACAGTCGTGAGATGTGTGTACATGCTAGTGTCATACAGTCGTGAGATGTGTGTACGTGCTAGTGTCATACAGTCGTGAGATGTGTGTACATGCTAGTGTCATACAGTCTTGAGATGTGTGTACATGTGTCATACAGTCGTGAGTGTGTGTACATGCTAGTGTCATACAGTCGTGAGATGTGTGTACATGCTAGTGTCATACAGTCGTGAGATGTGTGTACATGCTAGTGTCATACAGTCTTGAGATGTGTGTACATGCCAGTGTCATACAGTCGTGAGATGTGTGTACATGCTAGTGTCATACAGTCGTGAGATGTGTGTACATGCTAGTGTCATACAGTCTTGAGATGTGTGTACATGCCAGTGTCATACAGTCGTGAGATGTGTGTACATGCTAGTGTCATACAGTCGTGAGATGTGTGTACATGCTAGTGTCATACAGTCGTGAGATGTGTGTACATGCTAGTGTCATACAGTCGTGAGATGTGTGTACGTGCTAGTGTCATACAGCCGTGAGATGTGTGTACATGCTAGTGTCATACAGTCGTGAGATGTGTGTACAGGCTAGTGTCATACAGTCGTGAGATGTGTGTACATGCTAGTGTCATACAGTCGTGAGATGTGTGTACATGATAGTGTCATACAGTCGTGAGATGTGTGTACATGCTAGTGTCATACAGTCGTGAGATGTGTGTACATGCTAGTGTCATACAGCCGTGAGATGTGTGTACAGGCTAGTGTCATACAGTCGTGAGATGTGTGTACGTGCTAGTGTCATACAGTCGTGAGATGTGTGTACGTGCTAGTGTCACACAGCCGTGAGATGTGTGTACATGCTAGTGTCATACAGCCGTGAGATGTGTGTACATGCTAGTGTCATACAGCCGTGAGATGTGTGTACGTGCTAGTGTCATACAGCCGTGAGATGTGTGTACATGCTAGTGTCATACAGCCGTGAGATGTGTGTACATGCTAGTGTCATACAGTCGTGAGATGTGTGTACATGCTAGTGTCATACAGCCGTGAGATGTGTGTACATGCTAGTGTCATACATTAGTGAGATGTGTGTACATGCTAGTGTCATACAGTCGTGAGATGTGTGTACATGATAGTGTCATACAGTCGTGAGATGTGTGTACATGCTAGTGTCATACAGCCGTGAGATGTGTGTACATGATAGTGTCATACAGCCGTGAGATGTGTGTACGTGCTAGTGTCATACAGTCGTGAGATGTGTGTACATGCTAGAGTCATACAGCCGTGAGATGTGTGTACATGCAAGTGTCACACAGCCGTGAGATATGTGTACATGCTAGTGTCATACAGTCGTGAGATGTGTGTACATGCTAGTGTCATACAGTCGTGAGATGTGTGTACATGCTAGTGTCATACAGTCGTGAGATGTGTGTACATGATAGTGTCATACAGTCGTGAGATGTGTGTACATGATAGTGTCATACAGTCGTCAGATGTGTGTACGTGCTAGTGTCATACAGTCCTGAGATGTGTGTACATGCTAGTGTCATACAGTCCTGAGTTGTGTGTACAGGCTAGTGTCATACATTAGTGAGATGTGTGTACATGCTAGTGTCATACAGTCCTGAGATGTGTGTACAGGCTTGTGTCATACAGTCCTGAGATGTGTGTACAGGCTAGTGTCATACATTAGTGAGATGTGTGTACATGCTAGTGTCATACAGTCGTGAGATGTGTGTACATGATAGTGTCATACAGTCGTGAGATGTGTGTACATGCTAGTGTCATACAGTCGTGAGATGTGTGTACAGGCTAGTGTCATACAGTCGTGAGATGTGTGTACATGATAGTGTCATACAGTCGTCAGATGTGTGTACGTGCTAGTGTAATACAGTCCTGAGATGTGTGTACATGCTAGTGTCATACAGTCGTGAGATGTGTGTACATGCTAGTGTCATACAGTCGTGAGATGTGTGTACATGATAGTGTCATACAGTCGTGAGATGTGTGTACATGCTAGTGTCATACAGTCCTGAGATGTGTGTACATGCTAGTGTCATACAGTCGTGAGATGTGTGTACATGCTAGTGTCATACAGTCCTGAGATGTGTGTACAGGCTAGTGTCATACAGTCGTGAGATGTGTGTACATGATAGTGTCATACAGCCGTGAGATGTGTGTACATGATAGTGTCATACAGTCGTGAGATGTGTGTACATGATAGTGTCATACAGTCGTGAGATGTGTGTTCATGCTAGTGTCATACAGCCGTGAGATGTGTGTACATGCTAGTGTCATACAGTCGTGAGATGTGTGTACATGCTAGTGTCATACAGTCGTGAGATGTGTGTACATGCTAGTGTCATACAGTCGTGAGATGTGTGTACATGCTAGTGTCATACAGTCGTCAGATGTGTGTACGTGCTAGTGTCATACAGTCCTGAGATGTGTGTACATGCTAGTGTCATACAGTCGTGAGATGTGTGTACATGCTAGTGTCATACAGTCGTGAGATGTGTGTACATGCTAGTGTCATACAGTCGTGAGATGTGTGTACAGGCTAGTGTCATACAGTCGTGAGATGTGTGTACATGCTAGTGTCATACAGTCGTGAGATGTGTGTACAGGCTAGTGTCATACAGTCGTGAGATGTGTGTACATGCTAGTGTCATACAGTCGTGAGATGTGTGTACATGCTAGTGTCATACAGTCGTGAGATGTGTGTACATGCTAGTGTCATACAGTCCTGAGATGTGTGTACATGCTAGTGTCATACAGTCGTGAGATGTGTGTACATGCTAGTGTCATACAGTCGTGAGATGTGTGTACATGCTAGTGTCATACAGTCGTGAGATGTGTGTACGTGCTAGTGTCATACAGTCGTGAGATGTGTGTACATGCTAGTGTCATACAGTCGTGAGATGTGTGTACGTGCTAGTGTCATACAGTCGTGAGATGTGTGTACATGCTAGTGTCATACAGCCGTGAGATGTGTGTACATGCTAGTGTCATACAGTCGTGAGATGTGTGTACATACTAGTGTCATACAGTCGTGAGATGTGTGTACATGCTAGTGTCATACAGTCGTGAGATGTGTGTACATGCTAGTGTCATACAGTCCTGAGATGTGTGTACATGCTAGTGTCATACAGTCGTGAGATGTGTGTACATGCTAGTGTCATACAGTCGTGAGATGTGTGTACGTGCTAGTGTCATACAGTCGTGAGATGTGTGTACATGCTAGTGTCATACAGTCGTGAGATGTGTGTACAGGCTAGTGTCATACAGTCGTGAGATGTGTGTACAGGCTAGTGTCATACAGTCGTGAGATGTGTGTACATGCTAGTGTCATACAGTCGTGAGATGTGTGTACAGGCTAGTGTCATACAGTCGTGAGATGTGTGTACAGGCTAGTGTCATACAGTCGTGAGATGTGTGTACATGCTAGTGTCATACAGTCGTGAGATGTGTGTACAGGCTAGTGTCATACAGTCGTGAGATGTGTGTACAGGCTAGTGTCATACAGTCGTGAGATGTGTGTACATGCTAGTGTCATACAGTCGTGAGATGTGTGTACATGCTAGTGTCATACAGTCGTGAGATGTGTGTACAGGCTAGTGTCATACAGTCGTGAGATGTGTGTACAGGCTAGTGTCATACAGTCGTGAGATGCGTGTACGTGCTAGTGTCATACAGTCGTGAGATGTGTGTACATGCTAGTGTCATACAGTCGTGAGATGTGTGTACGTGCTAGTGTCATACAGTCGTGAGATGTGTGTACAGGCTAGTGTCATACAGTCGTGAGATGTGTGTACAGGCTAGTGTCATACAGTCGTGAGATGTGTGTACGTGCTAGTGTCATACAGTCGTGAGATGTGTGTACAGGCTAGTGTCATACAGTCGTGAGATGTGTGTACGTGCTAGTGTGTCATACAGTCGTGAGATGTGTGTACAGGCTAGTGTCATACAGTCGTGAGATGTGTGTACGTGCTAGTGTCATACAGTCGTGAGATGTGTGTACATGCAAGTGTCATACAGTCGTGAGATGTGTGTACGTGCTAGTGTCATACAGTCGTGAGATGTGTGTACATGCAAGTGTCATACAGTCCTGAGATGTGTGTACGTGCTAGTGTCATACAGTCGTGAGATGTGTGTACATGATAGTGTCATACAGTCGTGAGATGTGTGTACATGCTAGTGTCATACAGTCGTGAGATGTGTGTACATGCTAGTGTCATACAGCCGTGAGATGTGTGTACATGCTAGTGTCATACAGTCGTGAGATGTGTGTACATGCTAGTGTCATACAGTCGTGAGATGTGTGTACGTGCTAGTGTCATACAGTCGTGAGATGTGTGTACGTGCTAGTGTCATACAGTCGTGAGATGTGTGTACATGCTAGTGTCATACAGCCGTGAGATGTGTGTACAGGGAGTTTTCAAGTCAGCCAAAAGCTGCAATGACTGCCTCCACCTCCATTCTCTAACTAAACGTTGTGATATCATAGCCTGACTTTATTGAGTATTGCACTAAGTGACATCTGTTTGCTTTTGCTATGAACCTTTTCACACTTCTTTTGCCATGCTGAACTATCCAACAACTGCTCTCTTGTTTTTCCTCTTCCTCTTCCCCTGCAACTTTTCTTTTGTCAAGATATCCTAGTTTTTCCATTCTCAAGACTTACATGAAGAATTGATATCCCCCCCTCCCTTTTTTTTTATCCCACATGTTTGCAGTTACTTCTGTCTGTGACTTAAATGTCGAAAATAGGTATCACACAAAGTACTTGAAAGTACTGACGGCCATTGTGATGTTGACTCCCAGTTGCATCGAGGCTGGTTTAAAACAAGTATGAGTCTTGCATGTATGTCAAATAAGCCACTGGCGTGAAAAGTGTATTTAATTTACTTTAATTGTTACGTCTTGTTGATCCACAGACCCACCTGTTTGATGACGGAACCCCAGTCGAGGAAACCCTGAGAACACTGGATGACCTAGTCCGTATTGGTAAAATCCGCTACATCGGCCTTAGTAACGTGACTGGCTGGCAGTTGAGTCAGCTTGTGGAGACAACCAAACACCTGGGACTCAACCCAATTATCAGTCTACAGGTAGGTTAGTTACTGCGTTTGTTCTGATAGATTGGTGAGTGCTGGTTTTTGCTTCCACATTTCTTATTCTTCGTTTTTGTTGACCGGCTGTAAGCTCCAGGGAAAAGTCCTGGTTGTTCGTCCATTTAGACTTTGGCTTTGTGCCAGGGCCTAAGTTTTTTCGTGTTTACCCGTTTTACTAGCTTAATTTGTGTACAGTCTGTTGTTCCTTGCTGCTCGGGAAAATGCTCTCCAGCTTGGAAGAAAGCCACCAAGCAGTCGACTTCTAGGTTTTCCTTGAAATCCTAATCATCATCAGTTCTCGTTGAGCCTAGTGGCACATGGGGCTCCAGAGAGGACTTTCCATGCTTTCCTTTCCTGTGCAATCTTCAGTGCAGTTGTCTATGTCAAAGATGCCGCACTCAGGTCACTTTCCATCGTTCTTCTCCATTTTGTTTTTGGGCGCCACTGTTTTCTCTTTCCCGTGGTGTCCATGTGAGAGCTGTCTTGGCAGGTATATCAGGATTCATTCTCATTATGTGGCCAAGCCATTTCCATCCTCTCTTGGTTTTCATGCTGTCTAAAGTTTCTTGGTTTGAAACTTGAAGAAGTTTAGTGTTTGAGATTGTATCTGGCCAGAACATTTTGATAATTCTACGTAGACATGTGTGGTGGAAGGTGGACAGCTTGTGTGCATCCTTTTTTGTCATTCTCCAGCATTCCGCTCCATAAAGAAGAACTGGCAAAATGATGCTCTTGTAGAGTCGGAGTTTCGTTCCTCTGCAGTAAATGTTGGATTTCCAGATTTCCCTCATCCTTCCAAAAGCAGCTTTAGCTGTGTTCAGACGTGACTGTATGTCCTCTTCGGTCCCTCCCGGCAGGGACACAACACTGCCAAGATTTGTGAAATGTTTGTTTATTTATGGTCACTGTTTGTTGGTTTGGACTGCTTGTCATGATCTTAGTTTTCTTTGTATTTATTCTCACTCCCACCATTTCTGCTGTGCTGTGTAGTCTGTTACTTTTTTCTTGTATATGTTCATGTTTATGTGATAGGAATGCTATATCATCTGCAAATTCAAGTTCCTCAAGCATGGTGAATGGAGTCCATCGTATGCCTGTCTACTGTGTTCGTTAGTATCCAACCAATTATAAGGTTGAAGAGGAGAGATGACATGTAATGATGCTATAAATAGGGATAACGTCAGGGGATGACTGGTATAACTGGGTAAGTCCCTGAGAGCATGGGTTTCACGGTGATATGGTGAAACGACAAGAGAGAGTGAGTCACGAGTGAATACGAGATCTGGGGGATTGAGAATCAGGCGGGGATTCGGTGACTGGGCCCCAGACTGGAAGGATGTGAAACTGAATCTGTGAAGATGAATCCAGAATGAAGAGAGCACGCGGATCTGAATCAGAGTCGAATGAATGATCGTGAAGACCAGTTGTTGTGTTACACTGTTTGATTGTTGAGCCAGCCGTGAATATGCCAGTGTCCATCGTCTGAAGCATGTCTTGAGCTTTAATGCGTGAGCAAAGCGAGATTGTCCGAATGGTGTAAGTTGATTCTACTGTTGATTCGTGTCTCATGCTACAGTGACAATAAACTCGTGAAATGTGTCAGCTGGTGTCAACCGTCGTTTGAAGTCGTGTGACCGTGGAGAGAAATGCCGTATGGTTAGATTGAGCTGTGACCTAACCTCTAGACAACAGAGTCAGTGTTGAATCTGCACTAGAGAGATCAAGTGTGGAGGAGACACAAGTGCATTCATTACATGACACAACACATCGCTGTCTTACACCTTGGAAAGGGGCCACGAAACCCACACGGGAAGCTACCACATTAAGTAACTAAGCTGCTTTTTGTTTGATCTTTTTTCTCTTCTTTTCCACCAGTTGCCTCATCGGACTATTGGAAGGCGATGTCAAAATTGCCTATGTGCTCTCTCTAATGTACAAATCTTATTACGCTCTCATTAACAAGAATGCCCTGGTACTATCTGCCACAGCGAGCCACACTAAAACGTTACAACGGGTATAAAGCGAGTGGAAGACCTCGGAAAAGATGGAGTGATGGCATTAAGAACAGCCTTACAGAAATGAACATCAGTCTTAATAGTGCTCTTGACAGAGCTCATCAACGAACATTACATCTCTCCCCCCGACACTTCGATGAGGTTCAAGGTGGAAGAGAAGAAGAAGAAGAAGATTATGCTCTCATGACGTAGTGTGCAATTATTTAAAAACTTGGCATGTGAAGGCAACACCCTCTATAAGTTGTTCATTTCTTCAAAGCTGGTCTTCTAGTTAAAGTTCCATCCTTTGCGCTGAATTTGGTCACACAAGAATAGACTCAATGCCTCCTATATAAATGTTGTAAACTCCAATTACGTCAGAGTGTATCTGGATGAAAGGCGAGGAACTAACTGTTCGCATACAATTTATCTAGATCTATAAAACGGATCTGCACCTACTAGAGTAATTGTTTTGCCACAAACAACATGTTGATTTGTGTTAACTAAAGTTTATCACACATAATAGAATTGCATTACAGAAGTTTCGCCATGTTGAATTGACTTTAAATCACCAACTGCATTGACGTTTTTCTCTCTGCCAGCAACAATACAGCCTAGTCTGTAGGGAGTCTGAGCTAGAGCCATTCCAGGTGTGCAAGGCCCAGGGACTTGGGGTTCTTCCCTGGAGTCCACTCAAAGGGTGCGTCTGGCTGATTGTTGCATTGTCATTTATTTTGTTTAGTGCGAAAGCAGAATGAGTTCATTACCTTCGGAGAAAAGGGTGAAGAAGGTTCTGAGGAATAAATACTTCTTCTTCATCTTCAGGTTTCCGAGCCTTTAAAGTTCGATGTTGCAGATATCACCTGCCTTTATTCATCTCTCTGATTGGCCCTATCTTTCAGTTTGTCACACTAAGTGTTTGTAGATCTGTCTAGATATTATCTCTCTATGGTCTTCTTAGTCTGCCTCGTAGCTTACTACTTTTCAACCCCCTTCTGTACAGTTTTTTTCCAACCTCTTTGTCATCCTGATATTCTGGCAATATGCCCAATACTAGTAATAATAATGTAAATATTATGAAATATATACATACAAATACATAAAAGTAGATTGCTTCTATATATGGTTGTGTGGAGGGGAGAAAAGCCAGGAAAAAAGGGGGGGGGGGGCACATTTGCAAAAGTTATAGCAGGGAAAGAAGTTAAGGGATCCGCTTCCCCTAATAAAGTAAAAGTCAAGGATCTTTATCCACGTCATTATGCGTATTGGGTATATAGGGTTAGACCTATATTTGATATACCAATTGATACTAGCTCAGTGATGTAGTTAGCGTCGCGCTGGCCGCCTTTACTTCCCAGAACTAAACCTCGTAACCATTAAAGGTTGGGTCTACCTGGAAGCCAAGGTTATTTTTGAAAAAGTCTGGCTAGCCCAGGACCTTAATAGTAGGTCGCAGGTCCTGTTAGAATACTTTGCTGCAGTCTTCTTAGGTAGATCATATACACACAGCGCATGAATTCTACAGCACCATCCCACAACAACGTATAATGAATTGCCCCAACATAATCTCCGATACGCAATATTTCATCCTTCCCAGGGGCTTCCTGACAGGAAAAGTCAAACGAGGAGTGAAACCCACAGAAGGGAGGATTGGCTGGGTGGCAAACAATGAGAACAAGGCCATGCCGGCGGCTCCTTTGTGGAAACAGTTTGACGATAAATGGTTTGATGTTCTAGATCTTGTTGAAGCCATTGCAAAGAAGTACTGTGAGTACAAGTAGTGTCCCTTTGTGGTATATTTTCCTAATGAAGTACAAATAAATTTTCATGGTGTAACCAAACTAGTGCAGTGCAGATAAACATCTGGCTGACACTTAACAACGATGCTAGATTTATGTATAATATGAAACCCCCCCCCCCCCTTTTCCTCCCAGCCCCCCCCCTCCCAAAAAAAAAATCCAGTAAAGGCCTTTACGATTTGAAATTTTCTTATACTATATTTCAAACGTACCATCTTCCCATCATTCCCCTTCCTTGCAAAAAAAAAAAAAAAAAAAACTGACTGAAAGAGCTGAACATCAAGGAAGATTGGCTAATAAACAGCATCTTGTCTTGAAAGCTGACATAATTTGGTCATATCAAGTGCACAGCGGATTTAGAAAAAAAAAAAAAAAAAAGCAGTAGAAACCATAGTAACAGGAAAGAATGGCGGGGCCGACCAACACGAGACGGGAGAGTTGCTGGCAGACAGCATTTCAGTGATGATAACACTATACTCTTCTTTTCCCTGGAAATTCTTTATTCCATGAATATGACATGGCCGTATTCAACGCAAGCAGTTACACACATTAGGACGTGAGCTGGTTTCAAATAAACGCTTCTAGTACAGGGTAAATGTTTAATGACATGTTCAGTGTCACAAGGCATTCTGCAAACATGTCCAAGCTATCTCCATCGTCTTACCGTGATAACATTTGCCAGTGATGCACATTCTGTTTTCCTCCTCAGTTCTTCATTTGTGATCTTGTATGGCTAAAATAATCATATAATTCTTCTTTAACCTTTTGAATTTTTTGTATAAAAGTCTCAAGTTTATGTGTAATTCCTGCTGTCATTTTCCAAAACTCACTGTTGTATAATTGTATTCCTAAAAATTTTGCTCTTGTATATTCTGAGTTTTTTCTTCAAACTAAATCCCTTTGACTTCAACATATTGTTAGACATGACAAATGCTTGATTTTCTTTGTTTATTCTTGATGTTACAATCTTTTCAGAATCTCCATCTGGAGTAATTTTACTTTCGAGGTATATAAATTCTTCAACGTCCTCTATTGCTTCATGATATAATATAATTGCATTTTCTGTTTTGTAATTATTCCTCATTACTTTAGTTTTACTGGTGTTTATTTTGAGTCCTTTCTTAAGGGTTGTTGTTGAAAGTCTGTCAATCTTTTCCTGAGTGTCCACATGACGGCTTCATATAAGGCTGATGTCATCTGTATATTCCAAATCTCTCAATCAGAAGCGAGTGACCACCTGAGGCCTTTTTTCTGTCTCGTGTAACTTTTTTCATCAGCCAGTCAATGGCCAAATTGAACAAAAAGGGGGATGGTTTGCATCCCTGTCTGACTCCTGTGTTGACAAAGAAACTTTCTGTTGTATGAGTATAAAAAACTAGCTTGCATTGAAACTCATAGTTAATGGCTTTAATCAAATGAACTATTTTCTGTGCTACACCATAGTGACACAGAATCTTCCATTGTGATTCTCTATGCAGGCTATCATAGGCTTTTTTTCAAAATCCACAAAGGTCATCTAAACTACACTATTCCATTTGTTATTTTGTTCAATTATTTGACGCAGCGTGAAGATGTGATAAATACATGATTTCCCCTTTCTGAATCCTGCTTGCTCTTGCCTTATTATACTATCAAGTGCTTGAGTCAATTTTTTTTAAGAATCATCCGGCTACAGATTTGACTAATTACTGATAGTAAAGTGATACCTCTCCGGTTGTTCCTAAATCTCCTTTCTTTGGTATTTTAATATTAGTATCATTTTTGCCACTCCTGTTGGATTTCTTCTTTGTTCCAGATTTCTTGAAAAATCTTACACAATAGTTTTGGTGTTGCAATTTCCTCCACGTTCAGAATTTCTAGGCAGATTCCATTACACCCAGGTGCTCTGTTAACTTTTTATTCGCCTTCCTAACCTCTGCCTCTTGTCTTTCTGTGCCTCATGTATATCAGCAAGTACAGGTGGGTCTGGACAGTTTAGTAATTCCTGGAAGTGTTCTTTACACCTTTCTAATTTTTCTTTCTCGGCTGTAATCATTATCCCACTCTTAATTTTTAAAGACAAATTTGGTGCGATACCTTATTTACTTACAGTTTCTTAGTTATGTTGTACAATGTTTTGATGTTCTGCTTATTTGCTGTTTCCTCTGCTTTTGTTACTTGTTTTTCAATATTTGACAGTTTATCTGCTTTTGCTCCTGCTTCAACCTCATTGTTCTTTTGTGCATTGTATTGGAAAAGATTTTTTTTTTTTTTAAATTTGGCTGATTTTGCTTCTAACATTTGTCTTTTAATAACTTTCCGTTTTGCTATTTTCTCCCACGTAGATTCGGAAATCCACTCCTCTTTTTTTGACCGCCTATATCCTAATATTTTCTGCCCTGCTAATTTGACCGCTTCATTAAATTTGTGGATTGCCATTTCTGTTTCTTCTTGTAAAATGCTGAATACGTTTTTGAGTTCTATCTTGAATTGCTGTTTGATATGTGTGTCTTGGAATGTTCCTACGTCATATCGCTGCGGTTTTTGTTCTCTTATTTTAGCTTTCCTTAGTTTTAACCTGATTTTTCCAATAAGTAAATTGTGGTCACTCCCTATATCTGCTCATCTACATCCTCTGACGTCTTGCAGGAAAGGTCTCCATTTTCAATTTATCAAAATATGGTCAGTTTGGTTTCCCGTGTGTCCATCTTGAGATCTCCATCTGAATTTATGAATCGTTTTATGAGAGAAGAGTGTTCCTCCAATTATGATGTCACACAATCTCTTTTCGTTGTCGGTTATTTTCCCTGTTCCATGTTTTCCCATTGTTCTCTTCCTCCCTGCGTTGCCCTTTTCTACTTGAGCATTCAAGTCTTCCAGGATTAATATTGCTTTGGGATGTCTGCTACTACTGTTTGCAGACTGTTGTAAAAGCTGTCTTTTGTCTCCTCTTCTGCATCCTCTGTTGGTGCGTAACAGACCAAGGCAGATCATTTTGCAATTTAAGAATAAAACCTTGCATAAAAAAGTCGTTTACTTACAGGCTTCCATTCTATAAGAGTTGTTGAGCCCCTTTTTAATTATTAATGCGACTCCTTCAATATATTGTTCATCAGCTCTACCTGGCCAGATTATGTTGTTCATCAGCTCTACCTGACCAGATTATGTTGTTCATCAGCTCTACCTGACCAGATTATGTTGTTCATCAGCTCTACCTGGCCAGATTATGTTGTTCATCAGCTCTACCTGACCAGATTATGTTGTTCATCAGCTCTACCTGACCAGATTATGTTGTTCATCAGCTCTACCTGACCAGATTATGTTGTTCATCAGCTCTATCTAACCAGATTATGCTGTCGTCTGTATTGAGGTTTCACTGTCCAACGTGCTTTTGAAATTCCTAAAATATGTACATTGTGTAAATGCATTTCATGAAGAACTTGTTCCACTTTTCCATTTTGATACAATGTTCTAACATTCCAATATCCAACACTTAGGGTGTTTGTGAGAGAAAAACGATTCATTGTCGGGCTGTTGACTTTCTCTGGACATTGATCCCCAACCGTCATTTCACAAAATGTCTGGCAAGCTCCACTTTTTTCAGTGATATCAGTTGCTCCTGTTTCCGTAAAAAAGTATGTTTTTTCTATTTTAACGGTAATGGGTTGTCAACCCTTTGCCCAACCCATAACCTGGAGGGCCAGTGTGCTAGTTTGGTCTGATGCTTTTTCGCAAGGTCTGTTCGGCATGGTTAAACCTGCCAGGGGAACAAGTCCCCTGCCGGCATAGCTCTGAGGGTCATTACGGTACTTAAGCCATCCCGCCATGACAAGGCACCATCACCATGGGATGGAAGGTGAGTATACTGACTGTATATTAATTGCAATGCTAGATTCTACTGCCTGTATGTGTAATATATTGGCTTCTCTCCTCATTAAACACAGCCAAGAGTGTCCCACAGGTGGCACTCCGATGGCTTCTACAGAAGGACGTCGTGTCTTCAGTCATCATAGGGGCCACAAGTCTTGCCCAACTGGATGACAACATGGGAGTTAACGGATGGAGCTTGACCCTAGAAGAGGTTTGCTTTCATCAGTTTGATATTTTGATGACTTGTGAATGGGGGTTCTCATCCAAATAGTGGCACCTTGTGTTATCGGGTGCTTATCCCACTTTGTGCGGACCTGGTGAGGTTGAACGTCCCTAACTCACGCTAAAAGTTCACAATATTTATTAGACTTATCAAATTTATAATGAACTGTATTTTATGACCCAATTTCACCCCGGATAATGAAAGAATGATTTAGTTTCTCGTCTTTAACCTCGTCGTTGTCTTCACCTCAAACCCTGTATGTGATAGAAATTTTAAGAAGGAGTGAGTACAACATGAGCATTCAGTCTTAAAATGTCTCTTGGATGCCCTCGATTTTTTCAACCCAACAATATCCCATTGCAGGACATGTTTGGTGTTTCTCTATTCGTCTTTTCTCAGAATTGTCTCTAGCAAATAGTTTTTTTTAATAAGGTGTGAGAGCTGGCTCCTGATTCATGGCCCGATATGGATCGGGAGGAGCCTCTGCGACCGGTTTTGCCCATAGTTAACGCTACCACCACAACCTAGCACAGTGACTTAGTCCGTGACCTGGGGTTCAAATTCCACATGTTAACAGTCCCTCAGATCTGACTGATACAACAAATGCCTCCTCTAATTCTCCTATCTTACAGTTTATCTATCAAGGGAGATAACAATTGATTACACTTTTCAGAAAATAATGTAAGGGATGTATGTTGAAGAAAAGAAATACTGAAAGATGTAACTAAAGCGAAAGATTCATTATAGTGATTATTACATTATTTGACAGAAATACACATAAATCTAGCCGCCAATATGACTGTTACATTTAACATTAAAGCCATAATAGCAAATGAAATTTAAACCAGTCACAGTTTGAAAAAAAAATTATCAGTTGACTTTTAATATACACACAAACTACAGGCATGCATATTATGCTTGATAGTAGAGATTCTTTCTGTGTACATAAGAGGGGATTGTCCATTATGAATACAGCGTCCCAATGTCGGACGTAATTTTGTGCTGTTTTAAAGTCCCACCCTGGCTGTTGCCGGGTACACCAATATAACCCAAACTATGGATTAAACAAAGTTTTTGGGACCTCTCCCCTGGGGATCCTGATCCAAATGGTGGCACATTGTGTCACCGGCTGTTTGTCGCTAGGTGTAATGTCCTAATGGGGTTGAACCAGTCAGTCAGGGTTTGTTCATTTTCATTATTAAAGCTTTTGCCAGTCTCAGCATTTCCGGTGTATGGTACTGATACGGAAAGCAGCGTCTGTGTTAACTATTTGTCCTGAATCAAGCCACTGACGTCCCATAGAAGAGTTGGGTTCTTTCCTCTTAGCTGGTCTTGACACCCTTGTGGAATCACTCAGATGTGCATGTAGCCAGTTTTGTATATGTTCTGCTTCTCTATTTTAAGGATGTCTCTCTGTTCGACCATATTAGGTCAACTCACACTTACATCTTCTTCTTCTTCTATTCTCTACTCCTGGAACGCCTCGCAACATCAGTACAGAAAAATATCTCTGGAACGGACCCTTCAATTCGCTTCGTATAAATTACTTTTTAGTGTTTCTTATATTTCTGTGGTCCATCTTCTGGGCTGTTGATCTCTGGCTCTGTTGCCGCTGTATCTGTGGTTCCTTGGATGCTAATCCTGTTATATGGCTAAACTATTTGGTTTCTTTTCTACGTATAAAGTTCAGTATCGAATCTTTGTTGCACCTAGCATAGTACGTAAACATTTCATTTCTGTGGTGACTATTTTCCTCATTTCTTCTGAAGACAGTGTCCACATTTGACATTGATAGCATAGTTTTCATGTCAACTGATAAAAGTACATGTCAATTGATAAAAGTACATGTCAATTGATAAAAGTACATGTCAATTGATAAAAGTACATGTCATTTGATAAAAGTACATGTCAATTGATAAAAGTACATGTCTATTGATAAAAGTACATGCCAATTGATAAAAGTACATGTCACTTGATAAAAGTACATGTCAATTGATAAAAGTACATGCCAATTGATAAAAGTACATGTCACTTGATAAAAGTACATGTCACTTGATAAATGTACATGTCAGTTGATAAAAGTACATGTCACTTGATAAATGTACATGTCAGTTGATAAAAGTACATGCCAATTGATAAAAGCGACTGAGTTTGGTCTATGGGGGGACACTATCTCTTAGAAAGTCGGGATTAGGTATGGAAGTGGTTTTCACTTCTGGAACAGCGACAAAGAATGCTTGGCCAGCAGCTGTTTGTAATCGATCCTACAGAAACTACATGACGCCATCCCCTCGATAAGTTAGCTGGATAAATACTTGTACTTTCTGGGTAAAATGTTTTAACGACTCTCATAGTATGCTGACATTATTGCAGATGAAGCAGTTGGATGACGTCTCGGCCCCTCCACTGACCTACCCCTACAATATGGTCTTCTCAAACAACGCTGATCGTGTGAACCCAGCGGCCAATGATTTCTACGTCAAATCAACCAGCAACTGAAAGTCAGTTCTGGATGTCTTAGCCAGTTAGCTGCTTTATCGTGTTTTCGTAGTTACTGTCGTTGTTGTTTGTGTCATTATTATTATTATTATTATTATTATTATTATTATCGTTATGTGTTAACAAAATTAAATTGCAATATTACAACATAACTAGAATGCCATTGCAGTGGAACCCACAGGGTCAGAGAAGAAAAAGCAAGAAAACTACAGATGAAGACGATTGGAAAACGGGATGACGAAGCCCGCTGACACAAAGAAAACATTAGGGTGGCTCACAGGCCAGCTTCCAAACCCGTTTTTTTGTAAAATTTTCTTGACAAATGTTGGTAGGAGCAGAAGGCACACGGATACAGAGCTTCAAGGTTCTAGCGCCTAAGGGGATATCAAGGACGGAGATGACAGTGGGTGAGCTGCATGCAAAGCAGAAATTTAAAAAAAAATTAATGACTCGACGTGAGGTTAATAAAGTCTTTACGTCCTTTTCAGGACGTAATTTTTTGTTATTTGAAGCCCCACTCTGGCTTTTGCCAGGGGCCTCAATATAGGCAGGCCATAAATATGGCCAAATGTCTGAACGCGGTTTCTGGGACCTCTCCACGGTGATTCTCATCCAAATGGTGGCACATTGTGTCATTGGGTGTTTATCGCTTGTGTGATGTCCTAGTGGGGTAGAAAGTCACTCACTTACTCGACGTGAGGTTGGTGAGGACTTGTAATCCATTAAACGCTAACGAGATAAAGAACAGAAGATTCCAGCATATCTTTGATGTCAAGATACGAGATATTATAACCAACTTCAAATGGAAAGAGTGAGCAGAAAAACGTTTGAATGGCTGCTGTTGGAAGACTGAGCAGGGATGGGAATTCCTGAAGCGGTATAACGTTTATTCGTATTAACAATGACTGGTTAGTTATTGTTTGGCTGGTTGGTTGGTCACCTAGTTGATTGAATGTGTTGATTGACTGGCTGTTTTCTAGTAGACTAAGTTAAGATGGGTTTTACGTTTTAAACATTGATAATTAGATAATCTGAAACAGAAAAATACTTGTATTAATCAGACTAACCCAATTAATAACAAGACTAAAAATTAAAAATTAAAAAAAAAAATAAAAAAAATAAATAAACAAGCTTAAATTGAAAAAAAGAAAGATTTTATTATCTAAATTACTGGACAAACAAACAAACCCGAATTTAATAAAAACGTAACAAAAGACAAAGAGTAACATGGCTAACAAAGTTGCAAGGAATCAATGATGCAGACTCAAATGAGAAGAGTCTGGAGTTCCTTTAAACTTTCCAGAACCAGCACCTAAAATGTTAAAACTATGTGTGAGGATTGAGTTGAGTAACAAACCGACATAACAGCACATGAGACATTCCCTTCATCAGCCACTTGCGATAGTACCAATATCAGGCTAGTTGTATGAATGATTGAGACAACCACAACCAGTGTTGGCAGGAATCAAAAATATTCCTCGTCTTCTTCTTTTTTGTAACGTTTTAAAAAAAAGTGTTTTCGTTCTTTTCATTTGTTCATTCGTTCGAATATTCTTCAGCACTGCCAGCCCTAGAGGTTCATTGCTACAAATATCACCCGCCCCCGCCTCTCTTGATGGCGTTCTTTCCAGTTGGCGACACTAACTCTTTGTAGGTTTGCCTGGATCTGACAAATACAAATATCAGATTTATAAATAAGTTTTCAGAAAGAAGATGGTAGATGCATTCTAAAGACAAAAGAATGACAGTCACAAGAGCCCAAAAAATCAGGAGTTTGTGTTAAAACATTCACCTAAATGGGGACGAATAGAGGTCTTATAAATAGCATATCCCTACTGTTACAAAATTGTGTTAATGTTGACCAAGTATTCGTCGTGACTTTATGTTTTAAATACTTCGTTATGTTTATTTCAGTATTCTATACTGTAATCCAACCTGTAGGGAATTTTTTTGTCAGCTGGTATTGTTAAAGAATTATAAATGGATTTAAAGAAAAAGACGGTACTTAAGTATTATCCCACCCCAGATAACGTCACAAGGAAGTCAGTCCCACATTTTAGACGGTGGTAAGACTGGGTTTCCCGGCTTTCTGATGTTTTTAACAACCCCAAAACATCTAGAACTGGCACCTTCCCCAACCCACCTACGTCCCAAGAGAGAGTGCAGCCTAGGTCCCCCGACTGCATGCAGCCTAGGTCCCACGACTGCACGCAGCCTATCTACCACCCCCTTAAATATTAGTCTGTCCCGTCACCTGTGGATTTCCTCTGTTTGGGGTAGGATATTAATAAGTACCGAAAAAAGTCATTCTATCAGCACTGTAAAGACCGCAAACGCCCACAAGGCATCGAAAAAAGCGAAAAAAACTTTTCTTGGCAATTTTTTTACGTTCAGTAGTTTGTAATTGCAATGAACGGTCAGCTCTCCGTACCACTGTTGAAACTAAGGCAAGACAAACCGTCCGCAGCTGAAATCGAACCCAGTCTCCCGGCATTAAGAAGCGCGTTCGCAACGCCTAAGCAACAGACGACGATGGAGTAAGGTTAGTTCATTGATAATATTGAGGACAGACTATATAAACCTGTTTGATATTGGTGTTTCTTTATTTTCAGATGCAGAATCTTGATGAGCTGTCAGCACTTCATGTCACTTTCACTTAGGAATATTATTCTCTAATTTACTTTGATTGTGTCAGTAACCATGAAGTAGAATAACACGTTTCAGTTCATAAAAAGAGATCCATTTAAACATTTTGTTTTCTCTGTTTATTATTTTTTTATTTTTCATATTCTTAATGTTTAGCTCAACGCGTTACACCGTGACCTGTTTTATTTGTCTAAAACCTGTGAACTAATTAAATAATTTATTTGATGGAAACCAGGTGCAATTCTTTTCTGTGTGCTTGCGTTTGCTCTTTTTTAAATTTGTTTATTTTGGTCTGTTTTTGAAATAAAACAAGCTGATCATGAAAATGCATTATATTTTATTATTGTTCTTTCACTTACGTAAACAAATATTGCTGGTTGAAAAAATAGCCTGGTAATATTTGGTAAATGTTATATGGTTGGGGCATACTGAAAGTCAGATGACAGAAAGTAAAAACTGTATACCCGAGGAAGATGTAAGGTCGTAGACCACGAGGCAGACCAAGAAGACGATGGAGAGATAATTTTCAGACAGACCTGCAAACACTTAGTACCACCAACTGGAAACAGAAGACTAACTAGAGAGATTAATGGAGGCGGGTGATATCTGAAGCAATGAACCTCAAGGGCTCGGAATGCTGAATGCGTAAATGTAATACAAATTTGTGGCTATCCTCCCAAATACGGTCCCATATTATCGAGGCTAAGAAAATACCCTAACAGGGCCTCCGTCATATGTAAATTGGGGACCTCATTTCCGGGCGACTATACCGCCACCGCGGGCTTAACTAGATGGCTGGGGCTGCAGGAGATTCGGTAGCTGCTGCTCGTGAGTCCCAGTCATCTAGTTTAGCCCCGTCGGTGACTTTAACTCGGCGGAAGCTTTTCTGCGGTATGCGGTGTAGTCGCCGGAAAGAGGTCCGCAATTTACACATGACTGATGCCCTTATAGGGTATTTTCTTAACCTCAATGATTTGGGACCGTTATTCGGAGGATAGACACATTTGTTATACATTGCTGAATGGATGTGTACCTGACTACCACCACCACCACCACTTCTAGTACTGCTGCTGCTACAACTACTGCTGCTGCTACAACTACTGCTGCTGCTACAACTACTGCTGCTGCTACAACTACTGCTGCTGCTACAACTACTGCTGCTTCTACAACAACTGCTGCTGCTACAACTACTGCTTCTACTAGTGCTACTGCTATTACTACTACTACCACTTCTGCTGCTGCTACTGCTACTACTACTTCTTCTTCTTCAGTAGGAACAATAGGATGCACAACACCTATGACTGATTTCATAGAACATCAGAGATTCAGATGGTTTGGTCATCTGGCCAGAATGCAACAAAATCAGCCACCAGCTAGAGAATGGCATATGAGAACAGCAGGCTGCAAAAGCAAGAGGCTGACCAAGAAAGAAACGGGCAGATGAGGTAAAAGAGACGCTACAGAAACGTAATATGACATTAAGACAAGCTTAGAAACTAGCAAAGGTCAGGAGGAAACTAGACATGAATCCTCTCTGTGACGCTCTGGGCATAATCAGTAAGACAAAAGAAGGGAAATCATTATTATTATTACTGAGCACTTAAACATGACTTAGGACCCTTAAGAGCCCTCTCTTGGAATATTTCTAAAGATTTCTTGCACCCCACCTAATGGTTTTGTGTGTGTCGGCAAACCTCACCAGTACTTTATAACTTGTGTACAATCACGAAAGACGTTGATTGTAAGATAGCATGTGTACACTGGTCATACTAAATTAGAAACATTCCCTTTCCTTTTACCTATATGCAAATATGTAACCGGGCGCCACTTTAAAGATCATCATCATCATCATCATCAGGTGCCTTGCCAAATGGCGTGGGCGATCGTGCCTCTCCACAATCTGCTTTCTCCTGCAGCATGTATCAATTATTCGTGTGCTGACACACCTCTATGCCATGCAACAAGACTCAAGCATATTTTCTCGTTGTTTCCTCTAGTGGCAGAGCACTTATGGTTTATAACCGTGTGCAATGACGATGGTTCACATCTCCTGACTTTACTTTTACCTTTACCTTTTGTCTTCCTCTGTCGCTCCTTCCACAGATCTTTCCAGTGGTCACAACAAGTTCCATTTTCCCTCTTCTCATAACATGGCCAAAAATGATGACTGTCTACTTCTGATGTCTGTAATTAGTTGTCTTCGAGGACCCGCCTCTTTCAAAACCTCTTAGTTGCCATTTTTGGCTGGCCAAGGTATTGTAAGCATTCTTCTGTAAAACCACATCCCTGAGGCCTCAAGAAACTATTTGGCTTGCCTACTGATTGTCCAGGACTCAAGCCATATGTTAAAACTG